AGAGTACAAAAATGTCAAGGGAATAACCTCATAAGATTCACTCTTAAAGAGGTAAACACAAAAGATGGCTAAACTTGTGTCACACAAATTCTCTTCCCCAATATATATATGAAAAATCAGGGTAAACCACTAACGAGCTCCCCCTTCGCCCGAATTTTATGAACTAGCTCCACCACAAAATTTTCAACAAGTTGAATCTCAACCACCTCCATAAAACCCCCAATCAGTTGAATCCTTCGTCTTATACAGTGAAGATTTGTTCCCAATTATATCCAACCAAACACCAGAAAATAAATTCTTTTTTAAAAAGTGACTTGCGGATAGAAAAACATTTTCCACTAATGTAGGAAAAATTTACTCCATATCAAATACATCAGCAGCCATTATGCAAAATACTTACCTGCAGTTCCAAACAAGATAAACCCCACTTCATCATATCTGCTGAAAACCAGCTACATACACCAAAAATAGGACAAATGTGACATTTTTCTTAACGAGTATGTCGGCAATTTAAAATTCCAAACAAAAATTGAAACCAGAAGAAACCCAAAGTGGCAACATGGTACCTTCTTCTGTATCAACAATGAGCAAACTTTTTCAATCTCAGGTAAAACTGAGTGCATGGAAGGACCCACATCAATTACCAACACTACCGCTTCCTGTTCACCAAAAAAAAAAAAACTCTCAGTTGCAAACCCCAGAACTAATTTTAGTATCTAGTACCAAAAAATCTAATCTTTTTTCAAGAATCAAAAGGAAGTGATTCAGTGAAGCACAAATTGAGGAAATAAATAGTGGGTACGGAAAAAAAACTGAAATTTACTACCTTATTACGGGCCATTAGAAGGGAAATGAACGTTCAGGGCTGTTTGGTTCTTCTTCTTCCCGCGCCCTTAGTTGAATACTTCGCAGTTTCTCAAAACTTGCACTGGAATTTTCACACAGTGCTTCTCCAATTAAGTATTTGAAAATTCAAGAAAGGGGGAATTCACACGTTGGCTCCCCTTTTTCTTGTTAAGTCTCTACTTTCCACATAAGTTATAAACTTATCATTTTGTATCCTTTTGATTACCCACTCGACTAAAATGTGAGACATCTAATTAAGGATAGAGCGATCCTAACATAAACTATGTTAGTTTACTAATCCCTTTATTTTACATAGTACTCTTTGTCTGGATTCGCTAGCATTTGGATATAAAATATTTTTTAAAGGATTTTTGTTAAGTTTGATTTGAAGTTGAAAATGTATTTGAACATAATTTTTTTAAAATATAGTTTACTTTCTTAAAAATAATAACTTGAAACATGATTTATATCATAAGTTTTTCTAAACTATTAAAAATATTCAATCATACCAAATGTACATACTTATTGATCTTAAATTCTTATGTATGCATAAACTTCATTTATATGTTTATTATTAGTCAATTCAAGACCTGACTCTCAATTAAACATAAGTAAAAAGAAAGATGTGGAGGGGGGGGGGGGGGGGTGGTTATGGATTAGTAATAGGTCGTAAACAAATGAGTTTTTTTCTTATATATAAAATGCGAAAATTTGGAGTAAGTTTTGAAATGTTAAAATAATTTTAACGGTCATATTTTGAGTAAAAAGAAAAAGTCGGGAGATTTTAGGATTTGAATATTTAAAAGTAAAATAAAAAGATTAAATTAAATTATTTTTCAAAGTATTTTCTAAAATGGGATTTTCTAAAAAGTATTTTCATTCAAGGTCATAACTAGAGACAATAAAAATTGTGATATTTTTCTTTTTCCTAGGAAATCTGCCACCTTTTATTTAAGTTTCAGTCACTTGGGTCTACCTTTGCCCCCAAAAAAAAACATGTCTTAATAAAAAGAAAAAAGAGTTATTTCATACTCCTTCCATCCACGTTTAATTATTATGTTGTATTTTTTAAAAGTCAATTTGATTAATTTTCAAAGTTAAATTAAATTACATTAATTTAATATTTTAAATAAAAAAATTAAATATTTAAAAATTATACAAAAAGTATTATAAATTGCAATTTTTTGAATATTAATATGATAAAAAAAATACATCATAAAATATTAATTAAAATTCTGATAGTTTGACTCTAAAAAAGAAATCATGACAATTAAAAAGTGAGTGAAAGTAGTACAATGAAATTTTAAGAAAACGAGGTGTCCATGTGATAATTAAAAAAAAACAAGATGCTTACTTGTCATTATGGGAAACTAAAGGAATATCCACAAACTTTTCTTCTATTAAAACATTTGCAAATGCTCTAAAAAAAGGCACCATTTTTCATTTTATCTAAGGATTCAAGAAAAGGGAAAAAGCAAAAACCAAGAAGAAATAAAGCAGCTCTAATTCTTCCTTTCTCAGTAATGGCATCATTAAATAGCCACCATTTTTACCCTAACAAGTTCTCAAGTAGAGTATATACTACTAGTAAATCTTCTTTCTCCCATTTCATTGTTTCTTGTAAGGAGCAGCAGCAGGATGAAAACACCAAACAAGTGGGTCGCAGGTATTCCCTTCCAACCCCTCTCATCAAAATGTTTCCTTTTGATGTGCAACATACTAAATCTACCTCATTGGTATATATGTAGGGAAATAATACTAAGAAGCAGTGAAATTGCACTTCTTGGAGCCCTCTTCAACTTCAGGCATGTATTCATTCTCCTTCCAGCATTTTTTCACATTCAAATATCTATGTTTGGTTTTGATTACGTAATCTTTTAGCAACAAATCTAGTAACCCCTTTTCCAAGATTTAACAATTGTTGCTATAGTCAAGCTACTGATTAAAATTTTAGGAATTTCTTTTGTTGATTTGAGTAATTTGTATAGAGATGGATTTCTGATCTGTGTGGCATTAGTTTCATGTTTGCTCATAGATTTTGAAGTTAAAACTTGAAAATTTGAGTTCTTGCAATTGTGTTTTACTCGAAATTTTTTTGAAGTTCTATGATGGGAACTGGGAAGTAACAAAACCCCCAAAATTGGCTCTTTGAATATTAGATTTTGTCAAATTTCATGGTGAAAAAAATATTTGAGGATAACTTTTCAAAATCTATGGCCGAACGCTAGCTTAGAAAAAGGTGATTTGAGTAGAAAAGATTGAATCTTGTTTTTGTGATGCAGTGGTAAAAAGCCAAATTACTTGGGAGTTCAAAAGAATCCACTTGGTTTAGCTCTTTGTCCAGCCACTAACAATTGTGTTTCTACTTCTGAGAACATCAGTGATGCTACTCACTATGCACCTCCTTGGTAACTTTTCTTTTTCTTTTCCTTTTACCTCTGTAATCTGTATGTTTTATGTTTGGTCTGTATCTCTATCTTTGATAAAAAGTGCAGATACAAAGAAAAGTCGTCCACTTTCAATGTGGTGATGAGATGATGCTTCACGTTTAGTCTAGAACAGCAGTATTTATGTGCACATGGAAATTGTGCACAATAATATGATAGCTACTAGTTGACATATGAATCACAAAAGCCTCCTTTTTTTGACCATTTCTCTTTGACTAGAATCACTACGGGCGATCTTGTGTGTAAATTAATATGTGGGCGTGGCATGGCATGGTCCTAGGTAAGATGCACTCCATCTAGACTATCAAAAACTTACATGATGTTACAGATAATTTTCAAGATGAAATGGATGTGTTAGATTCTTTCTATCCAAGAATCAGTATGCTCTTGAATATAAGCATCTTTTTTTTAATAACCGTGGTGTGAACTTCATTATAAGCATCTTGGTGGACTGTGCTTTTAGAATAGATCAATATGCTACCCCGACAAGGTCTTACTATTTTCGTCAATGACAGTAAGGAAAGGAATATGATAAAATTGAAGGTTAAAAGATTAGCCTTTATCAATGGGGATACTGTACAGAGATGGTAAAATTTTGGTGCTTTGATTCTCAGGAACTATAACCCTGAAGGGAAACGTGGTAACGTCAGCAGAGAAAAGGCAATGGAGGAGTTACTTCAAGTGGTAAATAGTCTTAAAACCTGTTTCTCATCATAACAAATAGTTGAACATTATATTTCACATACCAACCTATTGATCTGCATCATTTTGAAGCTAAAATCAACAAAACCAGACAAGTCCTCTCCAAGAATAATGGAGAAGAAAGACGATTATGTGCGTGTGGAATATGAAAGTCCTATCTTGGGGGTAAGTCCTCAAAGTTCTAATTGTTCAGTTACTCACACACATCATTTTCCTCAGCCACTAATGAATAAGTACATGGTACTACAGTTGGTAGATGATGTCGAGTTCTGGTTCCCTCCAGGCAAGAAATCAATTGTACAGTATAGAGCAGCATCTCGCATGGGGAATTATGACTTTGATGCTAATAGAAAGCGAATCAAGGTATGACTATACATACTATTTGCTGTTCTTGTTCTTTCCAATCTCGTTTAAGTCAATGGCTAATCCGGTCATATAAAACAGGCGCTGAGATTGCAATTAGAGAAGAAGGGATGGGCATCAGAGGACACAGTCTGAACGGCATGATCTTCACAAAGGACAACTTATTCCTTACTTAGCATGATGAATAAAATCATCTACTGAATACAGATTCTCATATATTGAGCTTCTTTAATTTGTAAAAGCTTAATAGAACAGATGAAATGACACCAATATTATTTCTGGGCAACATGTTAGCATTTGACACCAACTGGTTAATGGTGAAGCAGTCCCACCGCAACCCACATTGGTAACTTGGTGTGGGTAGTGATTTACTTGGTTGTATGTCTTACTATTTTCATTTCATCAAGAAACGATGCATCATCCCATTACTCAACTTCCCAGAACTCAAACACGAAATTAAGATTGATGGATGAGTTGAAAGTTATTAGGTTAATATTTCGCGACTATTATATTCTAACAATCATCAGTTCAATAATTATTAAAAAAATGTTATTAGAAACAAATGATAAATACTAACTGACAGTTGATTAAACATACAATTTAAATTTAAAGGGTACATATAATGCTAATAATAATACATAGATGGATTGTTTTGTACGTGTGACAATATCCACAATTAAGCCTGCAATAAAGTTAATTGATAAATTTTAACCCAAACTTATATTGGGATATTCCACCTTATCTCGGTAACTATAATGTCAGCATAATTTAGTCCGTGCATCAAACCATTCCATAATAATATTATTGTGACACAGATATTTTTCTTAGAAATCAATCAAACATTTTATACTGTAAAAAAAAGTATTGTGGAATCAAGTGAAAGCCGGGAGAGAAGAGAGCCGGGCCATCGGCGATCTACTCTCATGGCTGCTTTCCTTCTTCCTTCTCGTTGCCGTTCTCGCCATAGTTCTCTACCAGGTTTATTCAATTAGTATCTCTTTGCATTTACCCCTTCTTCTTTTTTTCTCCCTATTTTGTAAATCCCCTTTTGGCCGTTTGAAATTGGAAAATTTGAAGCTGTTAGAAAGGGAAGAGAAGTTGAACGAAATTAATTTTCACGTTACAACTTGAGGTGATGAAAGCATATCTGGAAACATGAAATTCCAAATTTAATTAAATCTAATCCCAGAATTCAATGACAGTTACAGAGCACTAACACAATTGCCATAAGTGACTTCACCATGAAAAGAATTCTCAGTTTCCTATGAACAACCAGTCATTTCTGCTACAAGTGTCAATGGTACCTGGACTGGAAACATATATATCATACTGAATTTGCCTAATTTCACATAGAGCCCCTTAATGTAATTCACATTAAGACTTAATCAAACAATCCTCAGACTCTAATTTGTTGAAGAGAAATTAACATGAGAAGCTAAACAAACCCTGTCAATCAAGAAACAGTTTAACTTACTTGTTTGTTATCCCAATTTTTTTTCTTTCTTTTCAGGGATGATGATCCTGTAAGTTAGTATTGTTAGCTCTTCTGGTCTTATTGTCTTTGTAATAATTTAACTGGAAATCCATATGTGACAAATGTCTAGTGTTGAGTCTACGGATCAAAGTTCCTAGGCACAATGTTGTTAACCTTGAATCATTAGCTGCTCACATTTTTCTACTCAATGTTCTCCTTTCTATTTATATTTTTAGGGTCAGTAAATATTGCATTTGGACTTATTTAACTGCAGGTCATGTGCTTGGCGGACCTTGAAAATGATTATGTCAACTCTTATGATTCTGCATCCGAGATTAACATACTCGTGGTTCCGGAATTTGTTCTTCAAGGAGCACTATGCTTCCTACATCTTGTGATGGGACATTGGTTAATGTGTCTGGTCTGTCTCCCGTACTTATATTATGATGTCAAAGTGTAAGTCTTCTAATGAAGTATGTAGAACTGCTAAGTCTTTCCTGCTGTTTATTGTCATTGGCATCGCAAAAAGGTCTGACAATGGATGTTAACCTTTTGATTAGCTATACTGATCGTCGCCACTTGCTAGATGTAACTGAGATTTTCAGCCAGCTACCACGGGAAAAGAAGATTCGGTTGTTTAAGCTTGGATACCTTGGGATACATCTTGCCATTTCTATAATCTGGTAAGGTGTCAATGATGAGTTGTTCCTGTTTTTTTTTTCTTCACTTTCGTACAAACTGTTCTACTTTTTTAGGTACTTGTTCTCCTAATTTTCCTTATCTGTTTGTCTAATGTTGTATGTGATTATAGTATGATCTGGAGCATTGTGGCGGAATGAAGAATGAGGAATTTGCTGATCTCACCAAAGTTCCCTAGTTCCTCTGTCTGCTGCATAGCATTTGCATAAGTAAAAAGATGGAGGGCATTAACTTGGTGTGTTTCCTTCAACCTGTACAACATGTTATCTTTCTCTTCGTATAACCAATATTGGCTCTCACAAGAGCTATTGCTCATCAAGTTTTCTTACTTTCTTTTAAATTTTATATCCTCGTTACTTCAACAAGTAGTATTTTGTTACTGTGAAAAAGATGGAGTATAGTTACCTCTTCAAACCAGATACACTTTCACTTTTTCACTCTCATTTACTCCTTATATCAGAATGTAATGGTGGCTCCACTTGTCCCTTCAACTACCTTTTTTTTTTTCCTTTTTCGTGGTCTAAAGTTTCCAACTTTTGTTAACCATACTATATCCACATGAGAGTTGTTGTTTAAATCATATAATGATGTTTTTTTGTGAAATATAGGTACTACTACAGATGTTTTTTTTTTTTTTTGAACTAATGATGGATGAGCCTTAAATTATGGTCTCAATCTTTGTACTTGTATTCTGCAAGTTTCAAGCTTTCATGTGTATCATTATGCAACAAGTGGTGGTCCTGGTGAGACACTTTAAATCTGTCTAAATCAAATGATTGATTATAATAAGTAATGTTTACTTGATCCCTTGAGCTACCTTTTCAATTGTGCATAGTTTCTGTGAGAATATATATTTGGAGTTAAATTCCTGGACAGTTTGTTTTTTTGACCATATATTTGCTCTAAATATACTATCTAAACGCGATCTGGTTTATAATTTTGTTCAAAATTGCACTTTGTCTCAGGCTCATTGATGAAAGGAATCTTGCTGATTGGATGGCCTAGAGAATTTAATCCAATTTAAGGAAAGGATTGGTTGTCCTCAACTAGGGAAAACATATTGACAGTAGACTATTAAGATACTACTGATGCTATTTATCTTTTTACCTTGTGATACTCTTTTCTTTTTTCTCACAAGACTTCGACAAATAGAAAGAAATTACCAACTGACATTGTCCTTGAATCTTAAACAAGTTCAACATCAAGTCATATGAGTTTGATAAAACTTTGATGTAATATCAATTTGGCTTGATAATGTAAATCAGCTTAACCTTGAACTCGAGCTTTATGTTATATACTTGTTATACATATTTAGTAGCTCATACACATTTCCATTTTAGCATAATATTATTAGAACAATAATAGCTACAGAATTTGAGATACAAGGTTTTTCTGAAACTACCCAAAAGAGAGCAACAATTTGAGTGTAACTACAAACCTTCCAACTTTTTGACCAATCGAGTTAAATGTTACAGCACTCAAAAAGTTCCCTACAACAAAGATTCTGCAACTGAACCATAATCATAGATGCTCTTCAGATGAAACAACAGATTCTATCCTAACAAAAGTTATTGCCGATCAGACAAGTTATACTATTCAGGTACTGCGTATGAAGTGCTTCAGAATCTGGGAATGAATTCACGTAGAGGGATCAGATTACTCTCCTTGCAATGATATGTTAATATCTGTAGTAGACTTTCTTGAATCTTGAACAGATGGCATGGTGGCCCAGTGATTTGGTTGAATGGAAGAAGAAATAACATTTTGAGTTCCAGCTCCGGGAACATTTACAGTGTGTGCATTGGAACTTCTAGGCTCCATATTAGAGCTATGGGGCGCAGCAGGAGAGAGCGTTCCATAAGCTATTGCTTTGGGTTCTGCTTTCTGTTTCTTTGGCTTGGCCTCTTGGTAATTGCTTGGTAGAAAACTTCCCACTACAACCTAGTATATATTGAAAGAGCAAAGAACTTAAAAAACAAAATTGAGCACTCTCACTCTCTATACTCCTGACTAACAGTAGAACATAAATAGGAAATTTTATTGTGCGAAAATGTCATGCCAAATATTAGAATTCATGCAATAGAAAATAGTTTTACCTGGACGGGACTAGCAGCAATTAGCAGTCCTGCAAGTGTACCTCCGACAACACGACCATCAGGACTTGCCAAAGAAATGCTCATTCCTCCGGTTCTGCTAGTAGTACGAGAACCCCCAAACTCTGTTGGAGTAAAGGATCCAGACAAAGAAAGGATTTCAAATCGACCCTACACGACAATATTGCACAAGGAATTTTGATCATTCATCAAATGTAATGGAGGAATCCAAAGCAGGAATGAGGCTTATCCTTTTTTCCCTAATGTAATGGACAGCTGCACCTCAATCCCCAACTAGTTGGAGTTGGATATATGAATTCGTTCAGCTCCATTTATGTACATTTTATTCAGCTACTCATTAATTTGTGTTACAAAAATTTGGAGACGATGAGATATTCTTGCAAAATTTTAATTTCTGTTTTGTTATCATTTCTTCGCCTATCTATTATGGACATTTCTCACAAAGGACATTTGTTGGAAAATAAAAGAAAAATATGGACCCTGCCTTGTGAAATGCGCATCCTTCTCTAGTATGACAAGTTCTACTGAAATTGCTATACATCTCAGTTCATATCTTTAAGTTCGATCATTGACAAGGTTTGAAGAAAGGGTGGGCCATTAATAAGAAAGCTAATAACCACAATGATTTGATGCAAATCAGAGTCATTGAATGTTGAACAAACAAATGACCAACCTCATAAGTTAAAGTTCCCCCTGATGAATTTGGCTGGCGTAGAGTGACATTTGATATCAAACCAACAGCAGAAATAATGCAAATAGCTCGAGGTCCTTGCTGAGAAAATGAGATAATCTTCATGGTAACATCCTAAACAACCATCAAAAGAGTAAATACGTTTCTGATCTGAAGAAGTAACACAGAGTAATAAACCATAAAGAAGAAGTTGGGGTGGCGTTAATAATTCCCAGTTAGAAATTCACTAACTGGGAAATGAAAAGGATCACTCCTTTAAATAGAATTCCCAAAAAAGTATGAATTTAAGTAACTATATTTGTAATTTGAAAGGATATAAATTTTTTAAAAATTGTGGAGTTATTCAGTGCATATGGAAATTTGCAATTTATATACAGCTAATTTTCCCCTCACACCAACAAAAACAACCCTATGTGCATATGACCTTATTTTTTTTTCATCACAAGGGAAGCCCGCAGCCGCTACCCTTTGGGTGCGCACCTTATTCTTACATTTCATTTCTTTTATCAAGCTATTCTCAAATCGTATTTGCAACAACGTTATCATTTGAGATCTAATCCTACACATATACATCTCACAGACTCGGGGAAAGAGCTTTGAGAACCTTTTTCGAACATGGTTGACTACATAGAATAATTGCATGAACAACCATATCCAGTTTGAAAATTTACATCATCTGCAAGCACTTAAATTATGCTAGTCATATGTATGCAAATCACCGATCACACAGCTGAATACAAATGATAGTTACAGAAGCAGAACTGGTAAAGCCACTGTGCTGCTGGGACAATCAGTACAATACTCACTAATACAGTGACATCTCTTAGATTAGAATACAAACACTAGTACCGTTTGCTGCTCAATTTAAAGTTCTAAATTCTTTTTATGAGTAAATAGTTAAGTTTTAAGAGTAAACTATTGCCTTGTGCCCCCAGCTGTGATTTGTGAAAACACTGGAATTGTTGGTTGCTCAATTTAAACTGAGGCTAGAGGGTCAGGCAATTCTTGAATCATTACTACATGCAAGTATCCTGGATCACTCTTTACTTTTGTCTAAGCAAATTTACTTGATCCCTTTTTCCTTGAGCAGTTAAACTCTAACCCTTTGATAACCAAAAACTGACAAGACTTGTTCACATCATTTTAACCTTTGCAAATAGTTTTATTAACAATCAACCAGTATCCTTTGTACAACCAAACATACCTCACCAGCTTCAACTGTGATCATGTGAGGCAAAAAGTTGCCACCTGTGGAACATGAAATCCATTCACCTACAAGATGAGATCCAGGGGATTAGTTCCTAAACTTGCATTGCTAACTGGAAGCATATCACTAAAGGGAACCTAACCAATGAGGAAAAAAGACAATTATCGTCTCGACAAGGCTAATTAAGTTCTCCTGCCAAAATTCACACTTACTTACATGCAACCAAAAAAAAAATGCAGGAAAAACAACAACTTTTTTTTGATATTTTCCTTACAAACATTAGATTACCTACCTCAGAAAAGCTGGTCGAGTAAATTTAAAAACAAGAATTATATTCTCTTTTTCCTTTGCACCAAGAACAAGGGGAAATTTAAGAATATAGATCATGCTCCCCATTCAGAAGGGAATCCATGTACATTTCTACCATAGATTCTTTTCGTCGCAAAAGGGTCATAGTCTATGTTGTTTGAATTCTTCAAAAATGTCAATGGGTGTGTGTCGGATTCTCCAAAAGTAGTGTATTTTTGGAGAATCCGACACAGGTGCAGCATCAAAGTGAAGGATCCGCACAACTTAGGCCATAGTCCATACAAATCATGTCCTACTGATAAACTAATACTAAATCAATCACCAGTAGTTTATAAAATCAAGTCTCATTATCTTCATTTGGCAAAATGTAGAACAAACCACGGAAAGATGAAAATGAAAGAACAAAAAGAAAGAAGATATAAACTACAGTTATATCAGCTATCATCATGAAATCAAGAATATATGGTCCCCCAGAGAACTACAATAATTAGCACTAACTAGCCAAATGAACAATTAATTCAACCCCCAATTCTCCATAGGAATTTGTATTTAACTTCAATCACATTAAAAACCTCAATAGTACTCCATATCCAAGATTCCAACATTCCAGGTCCCTACTAAAAACACACTAGTTAGAGTCAAAGACACAAAACTTCTACATTACCTAAATTTTCAGCCCCAACTTTGTTTCGAGGCTTTTTCTCCGAAGCAGGACGGGCAACACTCACTTTCTCCGACAAGAAGTTGCCGGAGGTTGGTGGCGCCGATGCTGAAATAGGCATAGGTGAAATTGTCCTTGCAACTGCCCCATCAGGCCCATACTTCCTAGGACGTCCCCTTTTCTTCTTCTCTGAGCTAATTGGAAAGGCAGTAGCTACCGGAGGGGTAATCACCGCCAATGTTCCGGGTGGTAACGGAGTAGATTCTGTTCTTGATGCCATATGATAGTTTGATGGAGCTTCTGGAGCTATCACTGTAACTCCAGCATTCATAGCTTCCCTTGACTCCATTTTTTCCAGCAGATATTAATGCTTTGCAACTGTAAACAGAACAAAAAGAGTAAAAGAAGTGAGCTTTCTTACATTTACTTCAATGGAAACTCAATTTCAAATCAGAAATAACAAGTACATTGAACAATCAACACAAGATTATATTACATCTTGTAATACTCATCTATGTTGCTCGGACTCTTCAAAAATGTTGATGTGAATTGGATCCTTCAAAAATAGTGCATTTCTGAAGGATCCAACACGGGTACGGGCATCATTTTTTGAAAAGTCCGAACAACATAACTACTCAACCAACATCATTGCACATTTCAAGAAACACATCAAAAAATAACCCCTCAAAAAAAAAAGACAACTTTTTTTCCTTTCTTTGCTGAAAAACACAAGATGGCAATTCAACATTTTTAAAGAAAAATACAGAGAAAGAACAATATGAAGAGTATATTATAATAGCTTAATATGACTTCTGAAAAAAAAAAAACCAACATTTTCTAAGCCTTTAATTTTCAATTGACAAAAATTCAAGAACCAAAGTACAGACCAGAAAGAATGTTCTTGTTGTTTTAAAGATCAGACCATGGCTGGCTATGACTAAAAAAGAAGTAAAAAACTAATCTTTAAACCAAAAAAGCCAAAAAAAAAAATTTAAGCTTAAAACTTGCAAAAACAAACAAGAAAATTTTTCAAACAACAGATTTAAAAACAAACAAACAAAAAAAGAGTGAGAGTGGAGTTTGACTTACACTGTTCTATGTCACAGATCAAAATTTTACAAACTGAAAAAAGAAGAAAAAAAAAGAGAGAAAGAAATGATTATATAACCAAAAGATTAATGAAGTAAAAAAAAGAAAACCTTTTTGGTGGTTTTTAAGAAGTAAAAAATGGCTGTTTCCCGGCCAGAGAACCAGTTTTCAGGTGAGCAAAATTTCAAGAAAAAGACAACATGTAAAACAAAAAAGTGGAAAGCAAATTTCTGAATGCAATGCAAATTCACAAGAAAAAAAAAACAAGAAAAGTTATTTATTTTTTCATTTTAATACAATAAAATATTAATTGCACTAAAACCAAAAAAAATAAATGAAATATAATTAAGATGAATTTCAAATCCGAGTAAAGAAATTAAAAAAAAAAGGGGGGTCATTATGATTATTGAGGAAGGGTATTTTGGTAAAATGGTGATGAAACAATAGGTATTACGGGGAAAAAGATGAAGTTTCTTTTTAAAATTGGATTAAAGGCATATCCAATCCAAACACCAAATTTTACATTAAATTTGATGTCAGTACTATTTTTAGTGTAATCAACTCCAATTCACTGTATCAAATTTTACACCAAAAAAAAATATTTTTCTCTCTTCATTATTATATTATTATTTCTTATTTCATTTATATTTTCTTATTTCATAAAATAAATTATTTCTAAAACATTCACCATATATAATTCATGGTAACGTCAATTACTACTTTGTTGAATGTTTATTATTTTTGGTTATTTTTAAGTATATTGTATTAGTTGTTTAAAAATGTATATGTTTGCATTTTAAATTTTTGTGAAGGTTAATTGTAGTTATATTCAATTATAATTTATAGTAAAATTAACATAAATTATTAGTTTTTAAAAAGTCATATATAGAAAAATTAATTTATAAAAAAAAACTAAATTGTATATCTAAAATTAATATTATATAAAAAATAATTAAATATACAAGAAATTTAATTAAAACATATCATTTATATAATGTTTAATTAAAAATTTGTATAATAAAATAATATTAAAATATTTAAAAAGTGAATTGGTGTGATGTATTGTGTTACACCAAATTTGATGTAAAAATTAATGTGAATTAGAGCTTAAAACACCAAATTTTACATTAAATTTAAAATTTGGTGTTAGATTGGAGATGGTCTAAATATTATAGAAATAAAAGCTGAAAAAGTGAAGTAGGGGACCAAAAGTTTGTCAGAGCGGTCAACATTTTTTTTGCCGCTGACCTACTTTTTGTCCTTTTTTCAAACGAAGGGTATTTCTGAGATATTAAATTTATGCCCCTGGAGTATTGAATTAATTATTAAACAATGCCACTGATATTTGATTAGTTGAATTATGCCCAATTTGAATAAACATTAATACGTACTTGCTATTTTCTGAATTATAATACTCTTTTCGTGAAAATGGCAAACTTTTTTTCTACCGTACACAAACTTTAATGAATAAATAGACTTTTGATATAAGCAACAAAAAAGAATTATAAGCGGGATAAGATGAACTTAAATAAAATACAATAATATTAAGTCATGCTCAAAATAAAGTAAAAGAGAATCAAAAACTAAATAATATAAATAATATGATAATTGGAAAAAAAAAAGTAATAATAATAAAATAATTTAAAATAAATAAATAATTGTATTAATGAGAGAAACTAAACAATATTCTATTACTTAATAAATTTTGAATAAAATGCAAAATATGTAGAAGAGAAATGAGGGTGGGATTACCATATGGAAAATTGAATCCTCACTAATAAGGTGAGAGTTAAATAGTCAACCAACTAAGCTACTCAGATTCAACTCAAAACCTACTTATAATAATGGGTCCTAAGAAGTAGTATCATCAAAGTAAAACACATATGATAAACTATTTTTTTAATAAGAAAATGTGATATTTTCTTGAGAGTATTGAACTATCACATAAAATGAGAATGGAATACTGTAAAACATTACTAAATTAACATTCGGTAAATTAATAATTTCTCTAAAATAATATTTTCCTCCGATTTCAATTTGGGCTAATGGAAAAAGTCACATTTCGATAAGATAATAAGATAGTATATTTTCAGGAGACTCCTATATAAATATATGGTCTCTTTAATATTATAAATTAATATTTCTTTAAAAATACAAATATATCTAAGACAATTTAGTGAAATATGACCCTATCGTGTTTTTTTTTTTTGTTAAAATATAATTCTAGTTGATGTTCATTTCTAACTTTTGTTATTGTATCCAAAAGTTTCGATGTTGTCTTTTCGAACTGCACCATAAAATTGTGAAGAGTTCTAGATGTGATAAGAGTTTCCTTATGCATCAGTGGTTCCAAATGTATTGTATCATATCATCTTCAACTTCATCAATTTCTTCTAAGTTCTAGACATCTAAACATGTATCACTTTCATCCAGGTAATCAATGGGTTATTGACGTCCATTTTATTGCCGTAACTGAGATCATTGATCATGACCCCAAGTTCATGTATGACGTTTTCACAAGTGGGTTCATTCAGATTCTCTGAACTTCATTCCCACAACGAATTTTGCAGTGTTGAAAATAATTTGCTATTGTTTCTTTCTAAACATTTGTTGTCCATGTCGGGATTGCAAAATTGATAGCATCCAAATTATTTATCTTTTCGAGATCCGTTTGTCCCACTTTATAGCTTTCTAATATTTTATGATAAAATATGTTGTGATAATACATCTTGAAAGCTCTTATTATTCCAGCATCACATAGTTAAATCTCAAAATATTCTTTAAATTAATAAATAATAATTTATCGATTAAATAATATATCTATAAAATAATAATATCTTGTGATCCACCTATAGTAATTTAGTGAGGTTTTAGACTTTTAGCGTAATAGTATCCTCACAAATTATTAAGTATTATTTTCATTTATCTTGGTGGAAGTAAATTTTCACACGTGGGAGACATGCAATCGGATCCACCAAATTATTATTTTCTTAAATATGGTCATAACTTGAAAACAACAAGAAAACTTGCATTCTCTTTTAAAACTTTTACGATTTTAGATTGTTCAAATTTACCTTTCAATTCTACGTGACATAAAACTTTACCTTTCAATAAAATCTTGAAAGTAGTTCAACTCTCTACTTTCCTAACACACAACACATCACTATGATATTGTAAGATTTTCAAGAGTCAAACTTTTACTTTTGACAGTGAATTTGGATTGTAAATTTTTTGAAATAATATTTAGATGTTTAAATCCAAGTGAAAATATTATATTATAAATCAAAATATTTAATCGGCATATAACATTATAATAGTCAAAAAAAATATTATTTTAACTTTCAAAATTTGAAAGTTATCACATAAATGGAGTAGGTATCTTTTACGGCACCAATGCATATAACTAATATTGAAGAATAACATTATTAAATTGCATTCTTTGTTTTATTTCATAGCAACACAATATATTTTCAGCTAATACAATATACATTGAATAACTGATAATTGTTGATACTCATTGTCTGAATACAATTCTTTTATTAAAACAAACTTTTTTTCCTCAATGTTTTGAAGAGATTAATATTGAAACAACATTTTTAAATTAAAATAGCGATAGTAATCAATTGCATAGATTTTGTGAATCTAATTCATAGTGACTTAATCCAAAAGTCACGCACTAAATGACAATTCTCTTAACATTTTGGATCGAAAATCAAAATATAAAAACCCAATAGTCAATGAAACTTTCATTGTTTCCTAATAAGTACCCTACATTTTTTCTGTCAAAAAGTAAGCTACATCAATTTTGAATCACGGGTTATGATACATTTCAACTAATCCCGCAAGAGACAAAATTCAGCATTTTAAATTTTATATACTAACAATAGAAAAGGTATTTTTTTAAAAATAATTAATTACTGATAAATATGATTAGTAACTTACAATACAAATAATTAATAATATACATTAACAATTCAAATAATTAGTTTTTTTATATCATCAATGTAATTTAACATAGCATATCCTATTTTTCAAAGTAATATCTTCGGCTCAAAAGAAAAATAATCAAAATAGAAAATTAGAAAGAAAAATAATGATAAGAGTAACAAGAAACACTCAATAAATAAACAAACATGTATACTAGTAAAAACGGAGGATAAGATCTCATGTGAAATATTGACTAATACAATTCTCTCCGTCTCATTTTAGTTGATTATTTTATTTGTTTACACATATATTAAGGAATTATAATTAATTTTTTATTATTATTAATTCACACCTTAAAAATCTTTTTGGCAAGTTTATAAACAAATGAAAATACTTTTTCAAAAAATTAATTGCAAACGTAATAAATAAAAATTTTAATTAATATTTTTTTATTTAGTAAGGTGAATAATTAATTTTAATAAATGATCAACTATTATAGAACAAAGGGAGTAGTACTAAACAACACGGAAAAGATGAGGAAATGACATTTTGGCAGGAATTGACATGACAGGTGTAAATGACCAAAATGGCATTTTGGCTCCAAAATCGTTTAAATTTCCCTTCAAAAACGAAAATCACCTTTGACTTTTTTATTTTATTTTATTCATTTTATTTCATTTACTTTACTCTTATAATATCTTTACTTTCTTTTTTACTTAATTCATTTTATCTCTCATTCTAGAAAATATTTCTTAATTTTCTTATGTTTGGTTCACTTAAATATTTTAGAAAATATTTCTCAAATAAATTTATTTTCCTCAAATAATAATTTTTTCCTTACCTCACTCCGTACCCCGACCCCCATTCAAAAAAATAAAACTTTTAATTTTATTTTTTAAATCAATTTATTTTCTACACCCAAACTAGCCCCTCCCCCCAACAAAAAAAATTAACAACTC